CCCGTTTGTACACGGAAGACTTCTGGAGGCGTGGCTGCAGACCCCTAAGGCTGCCTTAACAAAGTATCATAAACTTGGTGGTTAAAACTACAGAAATTTACTCTCTCACAGTTCCAGAGGCTAGGAATCTGGAATCAAGGCTTCCACAGGGTTGATTCCTCTTTGGAGGTCCCGAGAGAGAGAGTCTGCACCTTGCTTCTTCCCTGTTGGCACCCCGGGCCATCATTCCAGTCTCTGCCTCTCTCTTTACATGGTGTTCTCATTGTGTGTCCCCATCTCTCTTAGAAGAATGTCAGTGCTGGACTTAAGGCCCATCCTAATTCAAAATGATCTCATCATGATGACACTGCAAAGACCCTATTCCCAAATATGGTCACATTTACTGGAACCGGGTGTTAGGATGTCCATATTGTCTCTTTGAGGAGGACGTGATTGGATCCACAACACAGAGCTCTCAGATGGGAACTGTATGGCTGCAGGATGCTCTGTGCCGAGGTCAGGGCCAGGACCCTCACCTACCCATTGGCCTCTTGGACCATGCAGGCCATGCACAGAGCCAGGGCCGGGAGGGAGGAGCCAGGCATCTCTGCTATGGGGGCGGGGAGGCCTGCTGGGCGGTGTCCAGGTGGACCACCCAGGACATGTGGGCAAGGCCAGGGGGCATTTTTCATAGCTGCTGTGAACACACATCTCCCTGCAACATGGTTTAAATCACCTTGACAGGAAAACCTGAAACTTCAAATCTGGGCTGAAGATGCTTTATTTTTCTTGTTAATCAATGCTCTTTCTTTGGCTAGTGGTTAGAAAGGTTTCAACAATTACAGCTAGGAGGCCTGTTAGAAGTTCCTGGAAGACACCATGGAAATGGCTCTACAGAAAGGAGCAAGTTATGGAGCGCCTGGGTGGCTCAGTGGTTGAGCTTCTGTCTTTGACTCAGGTCCTGATCCCACATCAGGTTCCCTATGGGGACCCTGCTTCTCCCTCTGCCTGTGTCTCTGCCTCTCTCTGTGTATCTCATGAATAAACACATTTTAAAACTCTAAAGAAAAAAAAAAAAAGGAAATGGAGCTGGTTAGATGAGGCATAGTTATCCAGTGAGTAGGATTCTGGACGATGCAACGGCGCATTCCCAACACTTTCTTGAAAAGAGTCATAAAGTAGTTGAGTGGTCTGAAATACCTAGTGTGACCTAAGAACTGCAAGCTCCAGAAGAGTCATAATAAATAACCCTTAGGACTGTGGTCACACACACACACACACACACACACACACACACACACACATTGACACACATTGACATTTCCAAGGATAGCCGGGGAGAGCAGAGGGTGTCCCTCTTGACCTCGGGATATGCCCGGAGCAGTGCTTGGCTAGCTGAGTTCAGTACTTGAGGGAACCAGATAGAAGATAGTCCCGTTGAGCAGTCAGATAGATAGAAGCCGGTCCTGACCCATCTTTTTGGCAAGTAAAAAGAGTTCATTTGAGCTAACATGTATCCATTTGATGATACTTGAAATGTACTTTGTTTTTCCTCTCGGGTTCTCATGACACACTGCCTGCACATTTAAGCAAGTCATGCCTCTGAGGCCAAGCAAACAAAACTGCCAAACAACGGCTTCCAGGATTCACTGAGGAAGAAGTTTTCCTTTGGTCGTTTAAACAATGGATTTGGTTTCTAGAAACCCGAGTGCACGTTTAAAGCCTCCATGTGCTATCTGTTAGCACTGGCCTTCACCTTTTGGGCCTCTGCCCCAGGGCTGGCCACACAGATGCTTTTTCTTGGGCCAGACTGAGGTTTCTTAAGTGTGACTCAGGCTGGAGATTAGGTCCAGGCAGAGGAGATAATTGTTTCTAGTCTGGTTTCTTCTAACTTTGCTCCGACGTCACCTTTTATGACTTTTCCTTCGGCTGTTCCCTCCTGTTCCCCAAGATTTGGTGCGCAGGCCTGCTCATTCTGTGCTTTCCCTTCCCAGCTTGAGTGCATGGTACAGTTCTTTTGCAGATGACTCCAGAATCCTAGCACCAGCCTCTTCCATGAGGACCAGATCTCGATGTCTGCCTGTTAGGGGCCGTCACCCAGCATCTCCAAGGCAAATGCTTCCTTTTTTTTTTTTTTTTTTTTTTAAAGATTTTATTTATTAATGAGAGACACACAGAGAGAAAGGCAGAGACACAGGCAAAGGGAGAAGCAGGCTCCCTGCTGACTTGATCCCACGACCCCGGGATCACGAGCTGAGCCGAAGGCAGATGCTCAACCACTGAGTCACCTGGTGCCTCCAAGGCAAGTCTTCTAAGATCAAATTCACTGTCTATTCTGCTCCCACTTAAATACAACCTGGCTCATGACGAGCCGTCCTTCAATCAATAAGCTTAAAAGTGGAATCTCCTGTGCAGTCAGCTGTTAAACCTTAGCATTCTCTCTCCACAGACTCTGGCAGCCACCTCTTCCTTTTCATGCTCACCACTTCTTAGCCTGACTTTTGCACCAGCCTCCCTCCTAGCTCGTCTCCCAGCTTGCTGTATTCCGAAAGTCTTTATAGCAACTGAATTGATTCTATTAACCTGACAACTCCTTTCCTGCTTTAAAATAACGTCCCAGGGCTTCTCTCTTCTCCATCCTCAGCCTGGAATGGAAGTTATTCTCAAGATGGGACCTGCTTAGGGAACGCATGGCATTCTCCTCGTGTGTCCTATTTCAGGCACAATGAGTATAGTCTTTCAATCTCTGAGCCTTTCCTGACCTTCATTTCCCTGGACCACCCAAGCTCCCATTCTCATCTCCATCTGCTGCATCTCCAATCTTCAAGGTTTCCTCAATTGCCACCTTGCTGAGACCTCGTCACACTCTGAGGCCTCATTTGTGGCATACTCACACAGAGTTACTGGTATTTATTTGAACTTGTGAGTCAACTGTAAGCTACTTGAGTCCCCAGGATAGGCCCTCTGGCTTAGTAGGTACCTCAAGCATGTGTTCAACTGCGGGTGCATGACGACTATGCTCCTGGCCCCCTGGCCCCATGTCCCAGCCTTTTTGGCCTATCACAGCCTTGCTTTCCCTCCTCCTCTTTTTAATCAGACACAGGCAATAAATTTGGCATGGAAAGAACTATCCCCCCCCCCCATTTTAAATTTTGTTGGAGGCAAAAGCAAATTTCCAAGATTCAGATCAACACCAATTTAGAATCATTTCTGCCAGTTGGAAAAGAAAACTTTGAAAACGACGTTTGACTTTTTTTTTTTTAACTTGGGAAAAATTTGAAAGCTACAGCCTTTCAAGGAAACAGGATACTTAAGTGCACACACACACGCTCCCCAGCCTGGCTTTATGTAGTTCAATCCTGTCAAGCTAATCTAATCTTTTGTGACAGAGCAGCAGACCTAGTAGATCAAGGGGGAAAACAATAGTTGGAATTTATCTTTGCTGGCTTCAAAACTTTTGATTCTGAGGTTCCACTCAATATGATTATCATTAAACTGGTTGAAAGGTTGGGGGTGGGGGTAGAGAGGAGGGCACAAATCAGTTAGAGCTGAGGGACAGAGGTGGTGCTCCCTGGGTGTCAGCCTTGAGCCCGGTGGCCCTGAACATTGGCCTGAATGGGCCAGGTGACAAAAAAAGAGAACACGAAGTCAGCATGAACATCAAGGTCGGGCGGGGAGGGGGTGTAGATCCATAATCAGCAAGAAAAGTGACTCTGGTAATTCCTCATGTGATCAACACTCATATGTAGGTTTGACTAGGAGTTCATGTTGAGAGAAAATAGCAATCATCGTGAAAGCAGCATTATATTAAGATTGTGATACCAGGATGAAGAAATACAACATGTAGGAATTTTGCAGTCTTAGACTTGTATTAACTCTATCCTCTTCCAAACTCCACAGCTAAAGATGGGAAAGAGGGATCCCTGGGTGGCTCAGCGGTTTAGCGCCTGCCTTTGGCCCAGGGCGCGATCCTGGAGTCCCGGGATGGAGTCTGCGTCTCCCTCCTCCTGTGTCTTTGCCTCTCTCTCTCTCTCTCTCTCAAAAATAAATAAATAAATAAATAAATAAATAAATGAATAAATAAATAAATAAATAAATAAATAAATAAATAAATAAATAAATCTTTAAAAAAAAAAAAAAAAAAGATGGGAAAGAGCTAACTAAACCAGGCCTGGCCTAGGGAATGGAAGATTTCTACAAAGAAGTTCAAAGAAATCAGGTTTTAGTACCAAATGAAAATAAAAATAGGTTTAAATTATAATATGTGAGAATAAAATTAAAGGTAAAGAAGACCTTCCTTGGTCTTAATATCAATAAATGAGTCGTGAAAGTAGCACAGATTTCTCTAGGACGGTCTGAGTGTGCTCTGGACCACTCGGGAGACAGACCTGGATAAACTCGCAAATGGCACCTGTCTCCCCTCCACAGTGTGATGAAGCACTACTTCAAAGTACTTCTTTCAGTCCGAAATTGAAAACTAAGAGGCAGCCAGCGCCTCCATTGTTATAATGGGCTCAGACTTGGTTTTCATTTCTCCTTTTAGAGAAATTCAAACATAAATGAAGCAATTCCTTAGGACCAGCGTTGGGGACCCTCTCAGTGAGGACTTTTCCATATGTGGTTATGGCGCCTATTCCATCTGTGGTGCAGAGGTGAGGGAATGCTATTTTCTCACTTTCAGGATAAACGAGCCCCTGATAAAGTGTCTCATCGAAGTAGATGGTAACAGTGGAAATCTGAGTGTATGGACCCTAACTTGTTAATGGCTGTTCCTGAACATTATCCCATTCAAACATTTTTTTAAGGCAGGATATGGCATGAAAAAGGGGAACACAATGATTTTTCTCTCTATAGTACTACTAATAACTAATAATCACACAGTCAATTGCATGTAAGTTAATTCTTTAAATTCAATCAGTCCTTTATAAAACTTCCCAATTAATTAGTAAAAGATGGCTTATTTGAATAGCCTTAAACATTGGTCGCTATTTAAACAAGACATTCTAAAAAAAAAAAAAAAAGCAATCACATAATAGTTTATAGTAATTTACAAGTGGATGGTATACATTTAGATACAGAGGTAGAAGTCCACTTTAACAACATTTCACTAATACACATTTACCAAATTCAAGGCACAAAATAGTTTGCTTTACAAAAAAATACTGTAAAAATGTCAATTGCTGTTCTACAATGTGAATAAAACTTTCAAAAGAATCTTTACACCCTTCCATACGTACTCCATAGAATATGATTTTTCCCCCTCACTAATCATAGTTGGCACAAAAACGGGGATTTTTTTTTAATGCAGAAGTTCCCATTTTTAGAAACTGTTTCTTCGCAGAGCTGCTATGTATTCTAGGTAAAAGTCCATTCAAAGAAATGAAACACAGCAACTTCCTGAGGAAAGGGCACTTTCTGTATGCAGCAAAATTCACAGGTAGAAAATGTGTGACCTTTGTGGATAACTAGGTCTCTAGAGGAATAGATCCTTAAGGAAAGATTTCAGAGATAAAATTAAAAATTTGCCTAACATTTTAGTCATTAGGACTTTAAGAAAGAGACCTGATCACCTTTACTATAACAATCAAACATCATTTACTTCAAACTGATGGAGATTTCAAAATTCCTTTTTAAAAGAGCTGTACACACAAACACCACGAAAAGCCACACAGGCTTTGCAAAACTGAAACTTAGAAAACATGAGAAAATATAGCACTATCAGTCCTTGAAGTTGCAAGGGTGTCAGTAGGCTAGAGTTTAATTACAAGAATTAATAAACTCTATGGAGATTTAAAAAAAAAAAAAAAAGCAAAACAAAACCACACAGGTGAAACACACTGTCGTTATCATCTCTAGACTTTCTGCTCATTAAGAAAAATAATGGTAGCCTGGAGATGTCACACAGTGCTTGTCTAACAGATTTGACTGGTTTTGGGGTTCTGCCTAAAAGGACCCTGTTGGCAACAACATGACTCACATTTGCTGATCACATTTTCCAAGTATTCTAATCGGTTAATTTGCACTTTATTATTATTATTATTTTTTAAAAAGTTGATTTTAAAAAAAAGTCAACATGGGTTCAGAATCCAGACAATGTCAGTAATGCTGATGTGGATTGGACTGTAATGCCTTGATCGTCTTCTGTAGAAATGATATTCCATATAAAGAAGATTTTTAGATGCCATTTTTCGCTTCATTATTGTTTGTGGCTTGTTTTCTTTGAGCAATAAACGGGTACATACACTTGTCTGCTCCTAGGAACCGATACATGCACACAACTGCTTCAAAAGGGAGGATGCTGGAAAAAGAAAGGTGGCTGTGAGCTGGTGTGCTAGGTTACGGGGCAGCCACGGGGAGACCCAACCCAGGAGGGAACCTGCAGAGTTACCTCTTCATGAAAGTCACGATGTACATGAGGCGGGGGGTGCAGATCATGGGCTGATCGGTGAGGATGGCCTTCATGGCCTGCTTCACACAGTAATCAGGCTTCAAAGGAGGCAGAAAAGGCTCAATTTCTTTCCTGAAGGTTATATATTCAAAAAATGAAATTAAGAATTAACACAAAGTAGGGAAGATTAGAAATATACATCCAAACATGAACAAGGACGTTATCTAAGTGACAGGACCTTAGGTCTACTTTGCTTTCTGCACTGTGTTTTTTTGTATTTTCCAAATTTTCCTACCATTAATACATTTTATATGCATAGTGTAGAAAATGGGTTAAAAAAAAAGGGGCAAAATCGGTCCGCTTTTCTGTAAAGTGAGACAATGTTTTTAAAAATGCTCTAAAATGTATTTCATATTTTTTTCTAGTTTTTTTCAATAGAACAAGAAGAGGGTACTTGGCATAACAAACATTACACCCAAACACAGTGCCAAACTTTGAGTGCTAAGTGTTGTTAAAATTATGGTGTGTAACACTGGCATAACTTTTCTGAGTGAAATAAGTGAGCTATATGCTTTCCTGAATGCCCAAAGAGGGAAAACCAAGGTATTTTCTCTCAAGGGTCTCTGAAATGAAGTGCATACAGACATTCAACCTTCAGCTGAATTCATTACATGACACGTTGAAATAATCTAATAGTATAATTTATTCCTTTCACTTTTCATTGTCCCACCACAGCTTTGGACATTTGCCATGATGCTAAATAGGAAACAGGGCTCCTTAGACCCTAGGCAATTGGTTCCTAAGTATATGAGATGAAGAAACAAACCAATACACACAGGCACACAGACACACACACAGCGCGCCTGGATGCTGGGAAAGAGGGAGAACTCCAGTCTGTTCCCAGTCCAGACTTGAAGTCAGCCGGAGATGCAAAGGAGTCCAATGGAGCTCCACCTACTTCACAGCTTGGCCAGGTTCAGGATGTGTTAAGAACGGCCTGACCAACGGGGAACTGGTTCGGTTATCTTCCTTTGCCTTTCAAATTCATCCAAGCAAAGATCTCAAAGTAAGCATGTCTTCACAAGTTTCCTTTTAATGATTCGTGGTTTTGTTTACTCTGCTTAGTTCAAGTCAGACGTGACCTGACATTTATATTCCCATATGCCTCCTTTCAAGGTATGGGAGTGTTTTATTTCATTTTTAGCAAATCTAAATAGTTCTTCTCATTCTGTCACAGTGAATCTACCTACACATACTCTCTGTGAAAAGAAAGCTCCCAAATCTGGAGGGTAAATTTCTAAGGTCTTTTTGAAGAAAGGCTTACTCTTTTGTGACAGTGACATTGTTTCTTATTCCAAATCAAAGTCGGATTCATTTACCAGCACTAATACTAAAGAAACAAAATAATTCCTAAGGAAGTTGCTTCTCAGGAAAATCCTGGATATTTATGTTTCCCCCTTGAAGGTGCAGAGAGGCCAATTCCTATCTGATGCTTCCAGACTGACTTCCTCACATTAGTATCAGTGTGGTAGCCGACCCTTCGTCATTAATCTTTACTCACTTGAATTCTACAAACCTTGACCAGTGAGAGGACAGGCTTAAGTGTCAAATGATAAAATGCAAGACTCAATTCTACACATTCTCCCAATGCAGAAAGATGATTTCTAAAACAGCTTTTTATCAGTAACAAGACAGGTTCTTACTGACCTGATTCGGCAGCCTCGGAACATGCCCGTGTCTACAAGGTAAGGGCAAACCAATGTTGTTTTAATTCCATCCTTTTCAGCAGCCTTTAGCTCATGGCTCAGGGATTCATGAAAACCCACCACTCCAAACTTACTGGCACAATAATCCTGAATTAGAGGGGGAGAGAACAGAAACACTAAGTATGTGCACAGGTTCCCTCACCAAACCCAGGCTTCCCTGATCCTATTACTTTGGTTACATGTTTGATATAGAGGGTTACAGGTGACTAAGCAAGGAAAAGGCAAGCATTTTCAAAGACAGGTATCTGATGTGGTTCAGTGCAGAAATAATATTTTCAAAGCAACACCAGAAACAGACGAACACTTTTTGCCACATTGACCAAGTATCGTATTACTTTGGGGAAGTTACCACAAAGGATTCTATAAAAGCTAGCTAACAAGCTGGAGCTAAAAATGGAGAGAGGTTCACTTTGAAGTGTCTGGAAAATTCACAAACGGTCTCTTGTTCAGTAAAAGGAGAATGAAAATCCAGGTTGTTTAATTAACACTAGGAGAGCAAAGGCGAATCTAGCTTAGGTTATAAATTGTTATGATCTGATTTTCTCTTTAGGGTAAAGTGAAAATGGAAATAAGTATACCTTGTTAACTTAAGCCAGACCTTAACTGAAGAACACATGGTGCAGAAAGTTCTTATCCTTTACCCCACTTTAAATGTAGGCATGGAAATGTAGAACGTGGAAGCCATCTATTCTGTGTCCCTTTACATATTTGCATGGGGTGAGGTTTCCAGTTTTATGCTATACGTACCCATGGGACAAACAGCACAGAATAATATGCATACACACGCTTTATTATCTGAATATGGTGAAGAATTGATTAAGCCCAGTTCTACAACCTTAACTATGCAAAACACCTCACTTTCGCCGTAACCATCTCCTCTGATGAGCTGATAGAAGATAGGCCACTTTTGGCAAGTTGACCAAAACAGAACGGCAACCTTTGGCCTCCTGTATCTGTTTCCTGTGGTAATGCCACTGCCCTCCACAGTTTCATTCTTGACCCTGTGCCTCCCCGCTATCATCAAGCAAAACTGCTAATGAAAATGGGCCTACTGAGGCCTAGCTGCCCACCTACTTTTCCTGCTGCTGCTGTGGCTTTGTCAAACTAGTGTAAGTGATTTTATGACAGAAGATATTAGAGTTGCAATTCAATGTCTGGCCTTGAGTTACTGTAGGAAATTCCACAAACAGTACACAGGCAGAGTAGAGTGCTTTCATGAATGTATGGACAGCAGGTACTCTTTGTAGGATTTTTGGTATACTCGTCACGAGATAAACCGACTGAATGAAGGAAATGCTTTATATCTGACAAACCTCAACTCCAGCAGTACTGAACAATCCCAAGGAACTTGCAACTGTCACAATATGACCATGATTAATCTCCAGCATGGTGGGAAGGAAAGCCTTAGTGGTCTGAAAGAAAAGAGTCAAGCTTTAGAACTGACATTGTGAGTTTCATTTAAAAGCAATTCTACATAATGTTTTACCCATCCAATGAGTTTTACCCATATAATGTTATATTTTCCAATTTGTCTAAAGATCTTATACGTTTACTAAAAGAGAAGATCCTTTAAGTGTCTGGTTAACATAACACCGTATCATTGGTATGGCAGGCCTATTAGAAGCCGTGACCAACGAGACTGTAACACAAGAGCTTTTGGGGACAATCTCCAGAGATGAAAAGAAAGCCATTAGTCGAAGGCTCTTTATCACCTTTCAAGTGGTAGTTATCTGCTAATCTAAACTACTCCCAGGTCAGAGATCTTTTTATGTTCATGACACTTTAACACAGCTATCTCACGGTCTGCGAGGGACCCTCCAGCTTACCCATGAATAAGTGCCCTGTATTAATGTTTACCTTATGGCTATGTATAAGCTGTAATAGGCCTATTAATGAATGAGGAGATATTCGAGCATCGTCTTCTAGCATCCAAAGCTTTACCAAAGTGTACTAATAGGAAGTAAACTATTTCAGGATGTAAAAATGCAGGATGAAAGTACAGGATCATTTTAATGAGAAATGTGTCATATGCTAAATGACAATAGCTCACAGCATTTGGAATGACCAAACTCCCCTGTAGGGCTCACAGGGCACTGACTTTCCCAGAGAGGCAGGTGACTGGCCACTCACTGTAGCTGGGCATGCAGCATAAGTTCCTTGGGCAATAGACCCAGGCACTGATTTCTTATTCACTAAACTCTTTTTTTCCCTCCTCTGGCTCTTTTGCCTTCAAGACACAAGGCTGTATTTTAAAAAAAAAAAAAATTACTTCAAATTGCTTAAGATGATCTATTAACTACTCTACCAGGCTCCCAACAGTTTTATAACCTGCTTCTTAAAAGAAAGCAGCAAAGAGCAATCTGTCTACTGTTGAGTTATATCCCATTGCCAACACAACTTCCCCATGATTTATGAAGTTAAAAAAAAAAAAACCCCAAACAGTACACAGTGGACTCAAAGAAGAGGTGCATGCCCTTCTCTGAGGATTTCCTGGCTAAGGGATCACTGAATTTCTGCATAAGTATCTAATGTGTTACAATAACTTTTGCACGTACAAGATCAAAACCAGTCATCCCATTTATTTTTATGTTTCTCCATGTGTTCCAATCTCTGATACACACAGTTGCCAGATGAATGCCTGTGAAGTGTCCCAAAGTCTTCCCCAGTCTGGTTCCTGATCATCTTGCAACCCTAACCCCCACCCCCGACTCATTTGTCTGGCCCCCCTCACTATTGTTACCCGGGGCACACTTATTTTCACCCGTGAACTTTTCTCTTCTCTGACAATCTATTCCCCATGCCCTCCTACATAATTCAAAGTATAATAATCACATGTTTACAAAGCTTCTCACGCTTTTCAACATGCTTATGTCACAGGAGCTTCCAAATTCTCTGCTGAAGGTCTTGAGTATTTACATATAATTCTACACCACTTTGACTTTGTTCATATTTCTTTAAGACATGTAGATGGTCAGTCCCATTCACTGTCACATAGAATTACAGGTTTTGTGATATTTTGGCTTTGACTGTTTTATATTTATTTGTCTGGCTGCCTTACACTAAGCTAGGAAATACCGATTATCCTTTCAAAGATTCTGGGAGAACTACTACCCTGTGATAGGAACTGTGGAGGAGAGAATATGAACAACATTCCTTGTGAACTTTAGAGACCTGGCTTACTGCTGGATGGAAGAGAGACACATGCTTCAGCTAGACTGCACTTCTTTGCAGTAGTAGGTCAGAATGGTGAGGGTAGTTGGATGGTAATCATTATTTTGGTGTACTTGATAGCCAAAAAAGGCAAGACCTGGTACATCAGGTCATTATACGTTGAATGTTAGGCAAAAACAGCTTATATATGGCTATTTTATCAGAATTGCAATAAAGTAACATCATAAAGAAGCATATGTATTCCAACCTAAATAAGATTTTTTTAAATATTTATTTATTTATGATAGTCAGAGAGAGAGAGAGAGGCAGAGACACAGGCAGAGGGAGAAGCAGGCTCCACGCAGGGAGCCCGACGTGGGACTCAATCCCAGGTCTCCAGGATCACGCCCTGGGCTAAAGGCAGGCGCCCAACCACTGCGCCACCCAGGGATCCCCCTAAATAAGATTTTTAAAGTAACTGCTTATGATTAATTGTTCCCAGATTAGCTGAAAAAGTATAAAATGTATTCTTGATGCTATTCAGAGATCATTTTTAAGTATTGAAAGTTTGCCTTGTCTTAGAAGACACGGATAGATTTAGTACAAAGGATCCTACTGTTCAGTTCTTAAGTAGGGGGTCTCCATGTTAAATTCCAAGAAATTACACACAGTATAGAAAACCATTAAGAATTTGCAGCTTAATTACCTGGCGAATCTGAATCCCTGACACTGTTCACACTGCCAGTGACCACTCACTCTAGCTGGCGGCTGGCCCTGACTAGCTAGAAGCGCGGACACCAAGCAGGTTAGCTCTAATGACTTCCCCGGACTTGTGTGTGATGTTGTTGCCTGCAGGTGTTAAATGACTAATCCAGATCCCCAGCAGCACATAAAGGTAGGCGATAGAAGATTAACAAGTTCCTAACTGTTTTTTAAGTTTAATCTGTTGCATGGTTCTGAAACTGATTAAGGGCCCCTCCCCTCTTCCTGAAATTAGTCTGGTGGTATTATTCTTTCAGTGATTATTTCTTGAACATCTATCATATGCAGGTACTGTTTTATGATCTGGCCAAGCAATGATGGCTAAAATGGGAGCTGGTTCTGTGCCTGTCTCTGAGCAGAATTTATACTTACCTGCACTTAATTGTGCTAACTCAGTATATCAAGTATAACAGTCCTAGTTATCCACAGGGTACTCATGGCTGTGTATTCTATTTTTTTAATTTTATTTATGATAGTCACACACACACACACACACACACACAGAGAGAGAGAGAGAGAGAGGCAGAGACACAGGCAGAGGGAGAAGCAGGCTCCATGCACCGGGAGCCCAACGTGGGATTCGATCCCGGGTCTCCAGGATCGCGCCCTAGGCCAAAGGCAGGCGCTAAACCGCTGCGCCACCCAGGGATCCCCATGGCTGTGTATTCTTAAAAAATGTGACTGGGACCTGCTTTCCTCACCCCCTGCCCTCCTGCCAAAGAGTCTGAAGGGACATTTAAGCTATTGGTTTTGTATTTAAAGGGAAAAAGAAAAAAGAGATAGAGAAACAAAAGAACCCAAATATGGCTAAGTGACTAAAATCTTTTCCAATTGTGGGCTGTAAACATTTTTCAGAGAAATATGCTTCATTTTGAGTGACTAGTAAAGGGTGACACGGATCTGTTTTAATATAAAGCTTTCTTTAGAGGGAGAGTTTAAAAAAAAAAAAAGGTAGTGGCAGGTCAATGTCCAGTTTAAAATACGTGATTTCTTTGCCCAATCAGGGACATACACGGCTTTCTGGATAAACAAGATTCAATGCATCACTGCATTTTCAACATCCTGATTCAAAGGCTTCTATTCGTTATTTAGGAATTGCACTGATCATAGGTCTAATACTACAATTACGATGGCTACTATCTATGTTGAACACAACAAAAAATGTTCAGGAAACTGGGAAGTGAAAAGAAACTATCCACAGCCAGGGTCATCCTGGGAACCCAGACTCGCCTTCTTCCAAAGCGGGGGTCAAACACTCAGCATCTACTGTGTGCCGGGCAAAGGCGAGCCTGGGAGAGGAGCATTCCCATCAAGACCATTCAGGTTTCTTTGTAAACTTGGGTTTTCAGGGTTCACACTGGAGCCTGATCCACGTGACTGAGCACGAAGGCTGTTAATCATTTCCTTTGCTGCCTGAATGGAGGCGACCAATTACTGCTCGTGCCTTATTTCCACAGCCGAAGTCCTGCCTTATGTCTGGGGCACATTACCAAATAAACTTTGATCAACACTAATTCTATCCCTTACTTTACAAGAAAAATGCTATAAATGGGTGGCTAGAAAGCATCACATTTTCAGAAAATTTCCCAAGTAACCTGACTAGTTTTCTTTTCTAATTACTCTTGCCCTCAACAGTCTGGTAGATGACATCTGAGATAGTACAGCATATTCCGTCCTTGACACAATTTGACAGCACAAAGAAATCTGGCACTTTGCAATGAATTATTAATGTGCACAAATATTGTAGCATGTATGAGATGGGGACCAGCAAAAGGTGAAGTGCCAGTTGCCATGACACCAGTCAGTTCAAGCTGAGGTTTGTGATCTTTAACTTTGTCTCAAAGAGTCATTAAAAGAACATCAAGGGCAAATCTAAGAGCACACCCAAACGGCTTAAGTATAAATTCACGCGTGTGCTGCCATCGGTGAATCTGAGAGGGGTAACTCAGATAACGCACTGAACACCTGGACTGCTGCGCTGTCTCCACTCTCGGGATGGATTACTGGGATCACGAGTTACGGCCTCGTACAAAGATCTCTAACATACAGAGGTAGTGGTGCCAGTGGTGGCTGGCCAAGGTTAGCGAGATGCTTAACCTGAGCCAGAGAACTGCACTCCATCGCTATGTTCTTTTGTTCAAATGTCTATGAACAGAGGAGGCCTTGTAGTCCTTCATCAGGAAAAATGGTGGGCTCTTGATCTAGGGGGTCTCACAGTCAGCAACCAATATGCACTCACTGGTATGGTCAGTGGGAGAATTTATAAGTAGGAACGGACCTAGGAAACTTTATCTGCAAAAAGAGAGAGAACTCTTAAAAATGAACTCTGGCTAAAAAGCGTGGAGATAGACTTTTGTATACCCATGAGTAATTTTATCACGAGGCTCGGATACGATCATCTGCCCCCAGCTGACAGGGCTGCTATGTGATGAAAGAAAAGAAAGAAAAGAAATAAAGAAAAGAAAGAAAGAAAGAAAAGAAAGGAGGAGGGGAGGGGAAG